TTCAAACTGACAGGTTAATTAAGGTGATACTGACCTAATCCGTCCGTTCTTTTCTTTTTTAATATACATAAATTAGAAGGTCGGGTGGTGAAGGTCTAGGAGTAATACTGTACGTGTAATTCGGAGGCGAAGATTGACCTTCATACGACCTATTCGTCGTCGGGAAGGAAAGGTCATGTAAAATTTCTTTTTTTTTTATCTTGAGACGCTGAGGATGGTCTTGACATCATCTCTTTAACCTTCTGGAGTGTTTGAAGCCAAAAGGTGAAAGGCCAAATCACAGCTACAGGTAAAGAGTCCATCAGTTCATTGTTGGAGGTCAGACAAAAACACACAGGAGGGATTTGAATATCGTCTTTATTAATATGAACATCAAGATCTGTGGATTTCCAGTATAGAAGCGTTATGATCAGCACGCACACACATACATACACACACACACACACACACACACATACACACACACACATGCACATGCACACACATATACACAGATACACCCATAGAATACATACATACATACATACATACATACATACAAGGTAGTAGGTAGTAGGCAGCTACCAAACAGGGAGGTACTACCGCCTGGAAAGATATTGGAAGCATAATATGTTGTCTAATGGTAGACCCTGCTGCCATATGGCATAACAAAAATTGTGACCAAGTCCCAGGTTGCTGATCTGACTTTCTGCCTCATTTACACACAATTGCAGGGTCTCAATTGTTTCTCTTACTATTGACAACACAACATATATATATTGTTTCTCACTCTTGATCTTTTATTTTTCTTTATGGATCTTTATTATTATTATTATTATTATTATTATTATTATTATTATTACAGTGTTATTATAATTAGCATTATTATTTTATCATTTTATTTTGAATTTTGTATTATTTATAAATTTTATTTACTATAAAATATTATTATTATTATTATTATTATTATTATTATTATTATTATTATTATTATTATTATTATTATTGTTATTGTTATTATTATTATTATTATTATTATTATTGTTATTATTATTATTATTATTATTATTATTATTATTATTATTATTATTATTATTACATTTTCGCCCCCCAGGCCCCGATGTGGGTCAGTGACCTGTGCCCGGGTGGGCTATTCCTCATAAAAATACATACATACATACATACATACATACATACATACATACACACACACACACACACACACACACATACATACACACACATACATACATACATACGTACATACATACATACGCACATAGACATTCACTACATACATACATACATACATACATACATACATACATTCTACTTATTTATTCTCTGGGGCAACAGGTATTACATAATCATACATTGTTGATTCTTGAGCCAGCAGAACTGTTCATTATAATAAATATATCATATATAGAAACATCTATTTCTGGAAAATAATCAAGAAACATCGCGTATATACATTGATTATTTATATAGTTACGCGTCAGATGGACCACTTATATGACTGTATTAACTTGATATAAACCATTATCATGACTAGATCTAATACAAAGATGGGTTATTTAACTTTGAATATGGCTGGCTGGCTGGCTGACTGGCTGGCTGACTGGCTGGCTGGCTGGCTGGCTGGAGATGAGTGTCTGATGTTGTGTCTGTGAGTGTGAGAGTTACGTAGAGAGATAATAGAGACAAAACTATTATTTCATCTAATTTGTGGCGGCGATAACACGACCACTTGAGTGAAATAATAGAGGAGGTCCCATTATTATCTGATGGCCCACTCTAGTGCATTGATACAGTGAAAGCATCCATGAGAGAGATGCTATAGTTCATCAGACTGATAGAGTAAATAAACAAGGGTTAAATTGTCCATTAGAACACTATAGACAGTGAGGTATTCCACAAAAATTATACATTGGTGACAGCCTATATTACAATGGAGGTATGGTCCATCTGACTGGTCAAACAAGGACCACTAGAATGGTGATTAATAATTATAGTAAGGTCGAAATCGAGAAGAAACAATCCATTGGTGAATATAAAAGTTGAACTGTATGCGACTGGTGTGTCAGCGACTGATGGCAAATTTAACATAGAATTAAATAACTGTTGACTCTGACCACCAACGTTAAGTACCATTATAACATGACCACTGTACAGTAGATAGCTATCCGACCTTAGTTATTTTTTGCTGAAGTTCCAATGCCAATTAGCATTAATTTTAACCCTATTTGATGCTAATTAACCTTACCTTAGTTAATACTGCATCAGTTAACTTAATAGGTTAATTAGTAGAGTAGTTAAGGTTAAATGGTTTAGCTGTAAGTAATTTGTAAAATATAGTTATTCTTAACTAGTTAATTAAGACCCTGTAAAGAGAGTATTTTAAGCTGGAGTGGGTAAGCTGAGGTGGGTAAGCTGAGGTGGGTAAGCTGGGAGAGGGTAAACTGCAGTAGATAAACTGGAGTGGGTAAGCTTGGGTGCGTAAGCTGGGATTTGTAAGCTGGAGTGGGTAAGCTGGAGTGGGTAAGCTAGGGTGCATAAACTGAGGTGGGTAAGCTTGGGTGGATAAACTTGGGTGGGTAAGCTGGGGTGGGTAATCTTAGGTGGATAAGCTGAAGTGGATAAGCTGGGGTGGATAAGCTGCAGGGGATTTATCAATCCTAACCTAACCTAACCTATTCGTGGACATTTAACCTAAGGATAAGAGGTGTTAGTGGTAATAAAGACCCTGGGATCATTAACTCACCTTCTCCTTCCTGAACAGTTAACTTAGCAACAATTCATAGTGCAATTAGTTTCAAACATGAATAAATGAAATACTTAACCAAAACGAAGGAGAGTTAATCTAAGAGTGTTAACCTAAGAGTGTTAACCTAAGAGTGTTACTAGGAAGTGTTAATCTAAGAGTGTTAACCTAAGAGTGTTAACTAGGATGCGTTAGCCTAAGAATGTTAACTAGGAAGCGTTAGCCCAAGAGTGTTAACTAGGAAGTGTTAATCTAAGAGCGTTAACATAAGAGTGTTACATGGAAACGTTAACCTAAGAGTGTTAACTAGGAAGTGTTAACCTAAGAGTGTTAACTAGGAATTGTTAATCTAGGAGTGTTAAACTAAAAAGCGTTAACATAAGAGTGTTAACTAGGAAGCGTTAGCCTAAGAGTGTTAACTAGGAAGTGTAAATCTAAGAGTGTTAACCTAAGAAGCGTTAACTTAAGAGTGTTAACTAGGAAGCGTTAGTCTAAGAGTAATAACCTAAGAATATTAACTATGAAGTGTTAACTAGGAAGTGTTAATATAAGTGTGTTAACTAGGAAGTGTTAATATAAGTGTGTTAACTAGGAAGTGTTAACTTAAGAGTGTTAACTAGGAAGTGTTAATATAAGTGTGTTAACTAGGAAGTGTTAACTTAAGAGTGTTAACTAGGAAGTGTCAATATAAGTGTGTTAACTAGGAAGTGTTTACTTAAGAGTGTTAACTAGGAAGTGTCAATATAAGTGTGTTAACTAGGAAGTTTTATCATAAGTGTTAACTAGGAAGTGTCAATATACGTGTGTTAACTAGGAAGTGTTAACTTAAGAATGTTAACTAGGAAGTGTCAATGGAAGTGTTATAAGTGTTAATTAGGAAGTGTTAACCTAAGAGTGTTAACTAGGGAGTGTTAACATAAGTGTGTTAACTAGGAAGTGTTAACATAAGAGTGTTAACAAAAGGGTGTTAATCTAAGCAGGAAGTGTTAACCTAAGAGAGTTAACTTAGGAACAAGTACGGTTAACTATTAACGGGGGCTCAGAACACCAGAATCAAGATTCTCACACTGTCCTACGATTATTTTTCTCTCGTAAATGATGAAAAAACACATCCAGTTAAATTTAAGTCATAGGGAGAAATCGACTCCATTTTGGATGTGTTGTTTATATTTAAGCAAAATTACATATATAATCATCTACGGTGCAGTCTCAGTGAAATTTGGTCACCATTATTTCCAATTATTTAAAAGCATCATACGAGGATTTCAGATTAGGGGAAATATCTAATTATAGTCCTGGTTTATTTACGACGTCATATTGAATCCTTAGTTCTTTAATTATCGTAAGAATATTCAAGAATCCAGACTTAAAATATTTAACCGGTCTTGTTCCTTAATGCCATCACTACTTAACTAGGTGATTGACGACTAATATTTAAGCATCGTACAACACCAATAGCTTCATCCTTCATTTCATTTGTGTTTACATTAATACAACAATAACAACAAAAACAACAACAACTCGCTGTACAGTCTTGTATCACGGTACAAGACATTGGTTGTATTAATACATCTAGCGGTATACAGTGTATATATAATAAATTTATCGACATTATACAAGAAATGTTATATCTTTCTATTTTACAATATATCAGTACACTGATAAAGTGCACTAAGTTAAGTAATTATGTAAGTGAACAAGTAAAGTTGTAAGTGTTATGTGTTGAACCTTCAGTGTTATGTGTAGAAAATTAAGTGTTATGTGTTGAATTGTAAGTGTTATGTGTTGAATTGTAAGTGCTATGTGTTGAATCTTAAGTGTTACGTGTTATTTATCATTTATCATGTGTTAATTTTTACTTGTGATGGTAAATTCGAAAACTTGATATATAACTTACTTTAGACCAAACCAAATAAATTTCAAAGTTAACACGTCAATACTTATTACTTAGAAACAACATATAAACCGTTAAATCTGAACTTCGTAAAAAAGGTCATTTAATTTTCTAAATTAATTTAACCAAAACTATTTCCTCCAAATAAATCAATTAATTAATATAAACCTATATATACTGTATATATATATATATATATATATATATATATATATATATATATATATATATATATATATATATATATATATATATATATATATATATATATATATATATATATAAAATAGAATAAGTTCTGTTTTTATTTACATACAAACTATAGGTATAAACTTCATATTTTCTTATTCATATATTCGCTGTAAAACAAAACCAATTTCCTTAACAATACTAAATAGCAAAATGATTTATATTTATATCTCTAAGAAGAAGCTATGTACAGGTGTAGGACAGACACACAGGTGACGTTAATTACCACAATACATTCTTGTTTTGGCACAGTAATTGTCCGAATTATATAAAAGAAACACACTATGTTAATATCAATTGTAATATATACAGTACACACACATATGTATATTTCTATATGAACAAGTCTTGTCTTGGGAGTGTTAATATCGGCCTCTTGGGAGCGTTAAAATCGGCCTTTGTTAGAAGCTTTGCTGAAATTGGCTTCGCGGGAGTGTTAAAATCGGCCTTTGGGGAAGCTGTGCTAGAATCGGCAACAAAGTTTGAAAAATAACCGGACTTCCATCTTGTCCGATTACATTAATTTGTTACTTTAATCAGATTTCTGCTCTTTTTATATCTTCTTTTCTTCGTTTATTCACATTACGTCGTCATCATCATCATCCACTTGTTACCTGTGCTACCTGTGCTACCTGTTTTAACTCTAGTAACTAGACACAGGTCACGACAGGTCAAAAGCTACAACAGGTCACAGCAGATCACATCAAATCACGAGTTGTCACAAAAGATTAAACAGAGTTACGGCAGGTCACGACAGGTTCACGGCAGGTCACCGTAGATCACATCAGCTCATGACAGCTCACAACAGATCACGGCAGGTCACAACAGGTCACGGCAGGTCACAACAGGTCACGGCAGGTCACGGCCACAACTACCAATCTAAAAAACAACACAAAAAATAGAGCTAAGAATTGGTACGAACAAATTGACCTTAAATAATAGCATTAGTGAAACCAGTTAACAAGTTCTAAATTAATGGTAAAGAGAGGGATCATTGCTATAATATTGGGACATTATCGTCGTGGTGGTTGAGGTTAGGTTAGGTTAGGTTAGGTTAGGTTAGGTTAGGTTAGGTTAGGTTAGGTTAGGTTAGGTTAGGTTAGGTTAGGTTAGTTTGTTTAAATTACAAGAAGGTAAGGACAAGAAAAAAAACAGCAACAACAAACAAGAAAAAGAGAGAAAAAATAAAAAAAATCACCCCTCATACCATCCTTACTACCCCACCATCACCCCACCACCATCACCCCACCACCATCACCCCACCACCATCCTACCCTCAATATCGCCCAATCTCCCCACCATCAACCCAATCTCCCCACCATCACCCCACCCCCACCAACCCCCACCCCCCATCATCACCCCACTCTCCTTCACCATCACTCAAACCGCCCGCCATCACCCCACCATTACTCTCCCCACCATCACCCCCTCCTCTTCACCAACTCTCCCCAATCACTCCCCACAATCACCCCTCCACCACCATCACCCACTCCTCCACCATAACCCCAAATCACCCACCACCATCCCAATCCCCAATATCATCCCTCTCTTCCCCATCAACCCAATTTCCCCACTCCACCATCACCCCCGCCATTTCCCTACTATCTAACTTCTACCCACGCCTCCACCATCACCCCTCCCCACCACCCCACTCCCCACCATCCCCTCCCTTCACCATCACCCCACTCCCCTTCACCATCACCTCCCCTACTACCATCACCCCAATCCTCAACTGCCATCACCCTACTCCCCACCATCACCCCCACCCCACCATCTCCACACCCACCACCATCACCCCTCCCCCACCCACCCACCCCACCCCAACCCACCCGACCATCATCCCACCCCCATCCACTCAACTCCCCACCATCCCCCATTTCCCCACCTTCTCCACTCTCCTCAAAATCACCCCAACACCCCACCATCACTTCCTCACCATCACCCCTCACCATCCCCCATCCATTCACCCATTCCCCACCATCACCCCACTCCCCACCATCACCCCTCCCCCACCATCACCCCTCCCCCACCATCACCCCTCCCCCACCATCACCCCCCCCCCACCATCACCCCTCTTCCTCACCATCACCCCACCACCCACAATCACCCCACCCCTCTACCATCATCCCACCCCTCTACCATCACCCCACCATCACCCCACCCCACCATCACCCCACTACCCATCACCCCACCATCCCAAGATCACCCGCCCCAACGATCATCCCACTCTCCCCACCATCCCCCCATCCCAAATTCACCCCATTCACCTACCATCACTCCATTCACCCATCCATCACCCCACTCTCCCAGCCATCACTCCACTCTCCCCACTATCACCCCACTTCCCCCATCTACATCCCCACCAACACCCACCAACGATGACCCAATTCCCCCACCATCACCCAACTATCCCCATAATCACTAGGGTGTGACCGTTGCCCTCCAAAACTCAAAAAATGGTCCTACAGTGCTGTTCAAAGTTTTAGTGTTGTGTATTTATCTAGGAAACACCCCTGTAAATTTTATTGGAGATCGGTGCATGTTTGAGCTAGCACCGTCGGCTTTACAAAATAACAAGGAATATTATTATCTAATGAACAAATTTAGTGGAATTTCTTTTATTAGACTTGTAAGATATACTAACACCAAGCAAATGATCGATCATATCAATCTTAATACCCCTAAAACAGTATTATAGATTAGTACGAAATACAATATTCCCAATAATTCCATTTCTAGGTTCAAGACCCATTTCTCTCAACTGGCGTGCAATGAAAAAGAGAAATACTACTACCCCGCAATGCCTGGAGTGTTTGAGGAGCGCCAGCAGGAGATGGCTGACTTCTTCCGTGAATCTCTAGCCCAACCATTTACACGTGGCGACTACAAGGAGCTGGTAGAGCTTTGACTGCTGCTTGTAACTAAAGGATCCGAGCCAGTGAACTTCACGATGGTCTACCCCGGCGCACTTCACAAAGCAAGGTGGATGGCTAAACTGCTCTATACCCTCAAGATTGTTCTTTTGTCAGGCCAGATCAAAGAGCAATTTCCCAAAGCCGAGGTTGTGACTAAAAATCAAATCAGCAAGTTAGAACGGTTTGCTGTGTTCACGGTCGCTGTTTATGTCCCATGGTGGATTGTGTTACGCCGTCTCTTAATTTACTTTAATATCCAGGTTCTAGGCGTAACCAAACAAAAGAAAAGTGAAGTAAATTAAAAGGGAATAAAAATAGATAAGTAAACCTTTAAGAATTTAATTAAATTAAATATTAACACAATAAAGAGCCTCGTAGGCTGTCACAACAAATTGATACTAAACATCGAAACATCAAGAACTGCTTAAATATTTAGAATAAAAATAAAGCACTGGATTATGTTAACACTACATAAACATATAAAATAACTAACACCGAAATTAACTAACGTGAAACAACACTGAATTACTTAAATGTAACTAAGCAAACACTGATGGACACATAAGAGACATAAATACTGTAGGTACTCACATAGATATACCACATTGGTGGCGACAGGAACAACACAGTAATAAAATAAAGTAAGTAACAGGTGACGGGTGTCACTCAAAAGAACGTGAACTGAATGACAAGAGGGACTGGACTGAACTCCGTCTACAGGTGGACTACTATATATAGGGTCGGCTCTGGCGCCAATGCGACCCGCCGGTGAAACATGGGTCGTTTAACGATGCACATGGTCGTTAGAGAAACAAAGAATGCTTGTTACAATACTAAATGAAGAAATAAGATGGGCTTGAACAAATAATAACAGTTAAAACCTTAACAGCACAGGGTAAGGTGACTAGATTATATAATAGTAAATATAACACATCATTACAGGAATAATATGGAACAACATGGAAGCATGTTATATAAAAACAAATAGAAAAATACAACACGGTCGTAACAATTGTTTGCCCCGTTCCAGCAAGTGCGCCACTGAATGACTTGAATTTGGTCGAAACCTTGGCTGAATTTGCCCCATATGACGCCTCAATAGTTGACAAAGCACGTGTGGCACTCGGTAGACACACTTGGTACCTAACTGAGGAGTTGGCCCCACTGGCTTTGTTCTCTTCCCAAGTACAAGAAAGGACAAAAGAGGAGATGAGGAAGGCCCTTCTTTGCCATGAAGGCATTGAACTTACTAAGAGAGTGGGGTTCAATCATGGAAAGCCATATCTTCCCCCTGTCCCAGAAAGTGGCACTGCCCTGGTGGACCTAATTGGGCCTGACTCAAGCCGGTTCTTCACCATTTTAGGCATGCCCTATCAGTTTCTCCACAGTCCACCCAGTAAATGGGCGGATCATGACGACTACCTGAACATGAAACGGGTGGTGGACAAGCTTCAGGTCGTCAATGAGGCTGCAAAGCGTGGTGTAAGACTTTGCCATGACTTTCTTAATGTTGCCAGGGATGAGGAGCGCTTTCAAGAAGTCCTTCAAGTAGTTGAAAATGACAGACTCCGCGTTCCAAATCAGCGCAAACGATCATCTGCTTCTGATCAGAAATCTTGGTTTCTTGCTCTAGAGAAATAATACCTCGTGAATATATGATAAAACCCCTTAATGTACCATGAGAGAATAAGAATGATTAACTTTTTTGTGTTAGTGATAACAGCTTTTAATTATGACAGGCAAATGATTTGTGTTAATATCCCTTCTGATGGTTGTGTAATCTCATATATAGGCGCGTATGCCGTATAAACAAAATCGCTATTTTTCAAATTGCTGGTGCTCACTCAAATATGCATAAATCTTCAAAAAATTGCACGTGGGTATTTATTATGTCAATATGCAACACCAAAATTTTGAACAGCATTGGAGGACAAAGTTGGGGCAACTGTCACACCCTAATAATCACCCCACTCTTCCCACCATCCACCAACTCTCCCCACCATCACCCCACTCCCCCACCATCACCCCACTCTCCCCACCATCACCTCACTCCCCCTTCATCACCCCACTCTTACCACCATCACCCCACTCCCCCACTATCACCCCACAATCACCCCACTCTTTTCCATCATCCCACTCTCCCCACCATCACCCAACCATCACCTACCAATGACCACCCCACCCTCCCCACCATTACCTCACTCCCCTTCACCATCACCCTACTCTTCCCACCATCACTCCACCCCCACATTCACCCCACCATCACCCCACCCCTCTACCATCACCCCACTCCTCTACCATCACCCCACCCCAACCATCATTCCACACCATCACCCAACTCTCCCCACCATCACCCTCCTTCCCCACCCTCCCCCACTCCCCCCACCATCACCCCACTCTCCCCCACCGTTACCCCACCCGCCCATCATCACCTCCACTTTCCCCACCATCACCCCACCATCACCCAACCACAACCATCACTCCACCCCATCACCCCACTCTCCCACCACCACCCCCCACCCCATCACCCCTCTCACCGTTACCCCACCCTATCACCCCACTCTTACCACATCACCCACTCTCCCACCATCACCCCACCCCCATCACCCCACTCTCCCATCATCACTCACCCAAACCATTACCCAACTCCCACCCACCCTCCTCCCCAATCCCAGGCTATTATCCAACTCCCCCACCATCACCCTTCTCCCCACCATCACCCCTCCCCACCTTCACACACTCCTCCCCCACTGTCAATCTACCTCCACTATCACCCCCACCATCACCTCACTCTCCCCACCATCACCTCCCACTCTTCCCTCCATCACCCCACTCTTCCCTACCATCACATCCCCACCATCACCCCTCCCCACCATCACCCCCACTCTCTCCCCATCATCCTCCACTCTTCCCAACAAAATCCCACCCTCCTCACTGCCCACCATCACCCCACCGCAACAATCA